TAATTCCAAATTGCTTTCCAGAAAGGTCAGAACAGTTTACATCTCTATACCTATTTTTCCACATCCCCTCTAGCATTTGTTATTTTTCCCTTTCACTCTGATAGGTGTGAAGTAATATCTCTGAGTTGTTTTAATTTGCATTTCTGTAATTATTAGTAATTTAAAGAATTTTTTCTTATGACTACTGATAGCTTTGATTTCTTCTTCGGCAAACTGCCTGTTCATATCCTTTGACCATTTTTAAATTGGAGAATGGCTCTTAGTTTTATAAATTTGGCTCAGTTCTCTATATATTTGAAAAATTATTCCTTTATCAGAGGAACTTGGCAACATGTTCTCCAATTTCCTACTTTCCTTCTAATTTTGGCTGTGTTAGTTTTATTTGTGCAACACTTTTCAATTTCATGTAATCAAACTAACCTATTTTACCTACTGTAATCATTTCTATCTTTTGTTTTATCATGAACTCTTCCCTTAAGTATAGATCTGACAGATAATTTGTTCCATGCTCCCCTAGTTTACCTATGATATCATCCTTTATGTCTTAATCGTGTACTCATTTTAAGATTATTTTGGCATACAGTGTGAATGTTGGTCTATACCTAGTTTCTACCAGACTACTTTCCAGTTTTCTCAGCAGTTATTGTTAAATAGTGAGTTCTTGCCACAATAGCTTGGATCTTTGGGTTTATTGAAAACTAGGTTACTGTGCTCATTTTCTTCTATATATTTTGTACCTAATCTATTCCATTGATCAGCCACTCTATTTCTTATACAGTATCAAATTGTTTTGATGATTACTATTTTGTATTATAGTTTGAGATCTGTTACTGTTAGGCCCTCTTCCTTTATATTTTTTTTCATTGATTCTCTTGATGTTCTTTACCTTTTGTTCCTCCAGATGAATTTTGTTATTATTTTCTTTCTCTTCTATAAAGTAACTCTTTGGTAATTTAATTGGTATGGAACTGAATAAGTAAATTAATTTAGGTAGTTTTGTCATTTTTATTATATTGACTTGCCCTACCCAGGATAATTGATAGTTCTCCAGTTGTTTAAATCTGTATTTATTTGTGTGAAGAATGTTTTGTTACTGTGTTCATATAGATCCTGTGTGTCTTGGAAGGTAGACTTCCAAGTATTTTATGCTGTTTGTAGTTATTTTAATTACAATTTCTCTTTCTAGCTCTTCCTGCTGTGTTTTATTAGTAATAAATAAAAATGCTAAAGATTTGTGTCAATTTATTTTATATCCTGCGACTTTGCTAAAGTTGTTCATCGTTTTGACTACTTTTTTTAAATTTGATTTTCCAGGGTTCTTTAAGTATATCATCATATCATCTGTAAAACATCATAGGTTTGTTTCCTTATGCTTATTCCTTCTATTTTTTCTTGTCTTTTTGCTATAGCTAGCATTTCTAGTGTAATATTGAATAATAATGGTGATAATGCATAATTACTTTGCCTCTAATCTTACTGGATAGGCTTCTATTTTATCCCTGTAACAGTTAATTCTTGCTCTTGGTTTTAGATAGATACTACTTATCATTTTAAGAAAAATTCGATTTATTCTGTGCTTTCTAGTGTTTTATTTTTGGATCTAGTGTTTTTAATAGGCATGAGTGTTGTATTTTGACAAAAGCTGAAATGTTCTGCATCTATTGGTATAATCATATAATTTTTGAGTTTTTTGTTGTTGATATGTTCAATCGTTCCTATTGTTTCCCTAATATTGAACCAGCCCTACATTCCTGATATAAATCCAACCCAGTAATAATATATGATCTTTGTGATATATTACTGTAATCTCCCTTCCAGTATTTTATTTAAAATTTTTGCATCAATATTCAATAGGAAAATTGGTCTATAGTTGTCTTTCACTGCTTTTGCTCTTCATGGTTTAGGTATTAAAAAATATTTCTGTCAGAAAGGGATTTAGTAGAATCCCTTCTTTGCTTATTTTTTCAAACAATTTATATAGTATTGGAATTAATTATTCTCTAATTGTTTGGTAGAATTTGCTTGTAAATCCATCGGGTCCTTTTTTGGAAGCTCATTTATGACTTGCTCAATTTCTTTTTCTAGGATAGGATTATACAAATGTTCTGGGGCAGCTAGGTGGCACAGTGGATAGAGCACTGGCCCTGGATTTAGGAGGACCTGAGTTCAAATCCAGCCTCAGACACATAACACTAGCTGTGTGACCCTGGGCAAGTCACTTAACCCCATTGCCTAGCTCTTAAAAAATGTCGTAATGCTTTTTCTGTTAATTTGAACAATTTATATTTTGTAAATATTCATTCATTTTGTTTTATTGTCAGTTTTATTGGCATGAAGTTGGGCAAAATAACTTATAGCAATTGCTTTAATTTCATCTTTGCTGGTTGTACATTCACCCTTTTCATTTTTGATGCTGATAATCTGGTTTTACTTTTTTATTTTTTTTAATCAAATTAACAAATGGTTAATTTTTTTTCATAAAGCCATCTCCTAGTTTTATTAGTTTAATGGGTTTTTTACTTTTAATTTTATTCATCTTTTTAATTTTTTTTCTTTTTCCCTTTAATTTTATTCATCTTTGATTTTTAGGATTTCAGTTTTGTTGATTAATTGGGTATTTTAATTTGTTGTTTCTTTAGTTGCACATCCAGTTTGTTGATCTGTTCTTTCTTTTACTAATGTAAACATTTAAAGGCATAAAATTTCCCTTAAGTACTGCTTTGCCTATATCCCACAAATTTGGTATGTTGTCTCATTGTCATTATCTTTAATGAAATTATTGATTGTTTCTATGATTTGTTCTTTGATCTACTCATTATTTAGAATTAGATTATTTAGTTTCTACTTAATTTTTAATCTGTGCACTTTATTGAATGTAAACTTTATTTCATTATTGATGGTCAGAGAAAGATGTATTTAATATTCCTACTTTACTGTGTTTCTTTTTGAGGTTTTTATGCCCTAGCATGTTAAGGTACCATATACAGTTGAGAAAAAGGTGTATTCCTTTCTATTCTTACTTAATATTTTCCAGAGGTGTATCATATCAAACTTTTCTAAAATTCTGTCCTTCTCCTTAACTTTTTTTCTTTTTAAAAATTTGTAATCTGTTTATTTTTAACATTCATTTTTTCCCAAAATTTTAAGTTCCAAATTCTTTCCTTCCCTTTAGCCCCATTGAGAAGGCAAGTTATCAATTATACATGAAATCATGCAAAACATTTTCATATTAACCATATTGCAAAAAAGCAAGAAAAATAAAGAAAGTGAAAAAATTATACTTTAATTTGCACTCAGAATTCATTAATTCTCTCTGGAGTTCATATTTTCTTCTACTTTTTTTAGTCTTTTGACTTTTTAATTGTTTGTTGATGTCTCATGGAGTTATTAGCTTCCACTTGACTAATTCTTTTTTTTGAGAAGTTATTTTCTTCAGTATTTTTGTACCTCTTTTGTCATTTGGCCAATTCTGATTTTTAAGGAGTTATTTTCTTCAGAATTTTTGGTGCCTTTTTTTTTTTGGTGCCAAGCTGTGAGTTCTTTTTTCACGATTTTCTTGCACAGCTCTCATTTCTTTTCCTACTTGGCACTTCTGGCCAGCGCCTACCCCCATGTCCACAACCTTGGAGTTCATCATTTCCTCTGGCTTGGAAAAATGACTCACAGTGACTTTTTGTTGGCTTTTCCTTTCAGAATTCAATTTGGCATTTTCTGTGGTCATTTTGTAGGAGAGGTTTTGGAGGAAGTTTGGCAGTTGTGAGTGTATGGATATGTTATGGAGGTAGAAATAACAAGACTTGTCAAATGATTGGATATGGACGATGAGGGAGAGGGAAGAGTGTAGCATAACTCTCAGTTTATGAATGTGGATGACTGGAATGATGGTGGTTCTTACCACAGAAACAAGGTGGTTGGGAGATGGGGAAAGAAACACTAAATTGTCTTGGACATACTGAGTTTGAAATGCTTATGAGAAATCCACGAGGAGATGGCAGTGAGGTGTAGTAGCTAGGGGACTGTATTTGGAGTCCTGAACTCAATCCCTCCTTGGATACTTGCAGCTCTGTGATAAAGGGTGTCACTTAATCTCTCTGTGCCTCAGTTAACCTCATCTATAAAAAGAGGGGCTTGGCCTTGGTTTTTAAGGTTCCTGCCAGTTCTGTGTCTGTGCTCTGAGAAGTGTTTGAGAGCTGAAGATAGCAATTAGGGCTGAGCGTATATAGATTTTATGTCATTTGGAAATATTACTTGTTCATATGAGAACTGATGAGATAGCTAAGAAATCGCACATCGATAAGAGAAGCAGCTCAGAACAGTCCTGGCAAACACTCGTGTTAAGAGAGAAGAGCACTTAATGCTGCTATCTTTTGGGGGGAAAAAGGTATTTTTAACTAGATTGAAATGTAAAAATTAAATATGTGGGCTAGACCTTACTGAAAAAGAAAGTGACTCTTTGGTTATGTCAGGTACTATTAGAAATATTCAGGTATATATGTAGCACCCAGTAACAACACTTTTTAGTGTGACAGTAGGGTATGGTGGAAAGAGAACTGGACTTTAAAGTTGGGAAACATGAATTCAGTTCTCAGAATGTAACCTTAGTTTGTGCCCTTGGAAAAGGAACACTGCAAAATGAGACAAAATCAAAGATGAGATTCTCACACATCTAGTTTCCTGATTTGTAAAAAGGGGATCTTAAGAACCATTCTTGTTTTCTCCTAGGATGGGATAATGTATACAAAGTGAATTGTCAAGTGTAGAGCTTTATAAAAATGTAAAGTGGTGATGCTTTGATTTTTGTTATCATAATTTAATGATACTTTCATCTTTAATGTACCTTATCCAGAGAATACCTTAATTGATCAATATCTTACTTATGAGAAGGTGAGATTTTTCCAGAGAGAATATTTTAAAGAGCATTTAGTATTTAATTTCAGTATCAAGATTTCTGTTTCCATTTTAAAAAATCCTAACTTCTATATTTATTCTTGCCTTTCTAGTGATATGCAGCTTTCGTGGATCCGTACCCCAAGGCTTAGTCCTGGAAATAGGAGAAACTGTTCAGATTCTGGAAAAATGTGAAGGTTAGTATGGTGGAATGAGAAGAAAGTGTGTGAACAGGATTTATTTTCAGTCATCATGAAGTTAAATTTTTTGTAGACTATCTCCACTAAAGTCCTCTGACACTTTCTGGTGGCATAAAGGCTTTTTCAGATTCCATGCCATCATATTCTTTCTGTTCGTTCTAATCTGAACAAGCTTCACCCATTCAGGCAGGACCCAGTGACAGACTTTACACCTGTTTTCTGAGCACTAGCCTCACTAAGTTCAGAGAGGTTGGTCACCATTTTGGTGTCAGTATGGTGACATTTTCAGCTATAGAAACTCTTAAAAACCACTACTGAGTCAGAAAGGAGTTGTAATCTGTGTCTGTAGAGGGAGTACCACATCAATGAAAGGCCAGGTCATTTAACTATTGAAAAAGACTAACAGATTTTGAGCAATCATTTTGAAACCTTGAAACATCAGATGATCAAAATACTTAGACAAATTCCATCCTAACCCACTTTCAGGGGGGAAAAAAAGCTCAAGCACTATTGATACTAATCTGGTGTTAAAGAAGGTTATGGGTCAGGGTTTTTAAGTTAACCAACCTGTTTTTTATATTCTATCCAAATGTAGTTTTTTTATTACTCTTAATTAAGTTCAACTAAACATCTATTATTTCAGATATATTTGGCTAATAGTACATTTGCATGACACCTGGAAAACTAATTGGGAGTGTTTAAACAACCGTAGGGACTTTATGCTTTCTAGCAAATTCATTTGTAAGTCTTTGTTTGGCCAACATGCCTGTCGTAAAGGCTAACCTATATACAATTTGAAATGGATTGGTCTGATGACATTGTTTCTTCAAACATGACAATGTGTAGGCAGTTTTACATGGAGAATTAAAAGACCAATATGTCTATGTAGCATGTAGTTATATGATTATGTGTGTTACATTTGCTTTATCATTTGTCAGGGATGTTTTAGGTAGGATTATTATTGAAGGCTAAGAGTTGGACTTCCTGTCCTTTTACGGTCCCTTTGTATTCAGTTTTTCTATGATTTCTTGTTGAAAGGTGAAAATGGAATCCAAGTGTAACGCAGTTTTAGTTGTGATTGAAGTTCAGGTATCTGAAATCTCTGAAGTACAGTTATATTTTTATGCAACAAACTTTCAATGATCCATTTTGGGAAGAAGTGGAGAAGAAAATCTATGTCTTTGTCTAAAAGTATTTATGTTTTGAATCTTTTATGAATTGAATAATATATTTGCAATAGATTTCACTTTCAAATTAATTATCTTTAAATCATTATTTTAATTTTCATTTGTTAAATACTCCTAAATCATGGTGAGGGAAGTACCCCAGAAAGAGTTACTGTGTGGCACAGGCAAGCCAGGTTGACTTTTAAAATGTACTGTAGGATTACCCAGGAAGTAGATAATCCATATTTAGGTAATTGAAAATTGAATATAACTACAAATAAGATTATTTTCTCAGAGATACAAGCTGTCGCTAAGTACAAATCTCTATTGCATGAGTGACAAGGTCTGAAATTTTATGTTGCTTCTCATCTCAAGGTTCCTTGGTTATTTCTTGGAAAGGGACCTAAACAGAATGTTGTAAAGTCCATACCTTTTAAAAAATGCAACTGTTAATATAAAAGTATTTTATTGCTTACTGTTTCTAAATTATTCTTTAAGTGTTTGTTAATTTCTACAAGGATTGTAAATAGAAGGAATTCCATTTCAGGCATTGAAAATGCAACATGCTACATTTAAGTTATCTTCCCAGAAAAATTCATGGCAGGATTTGAATTAGAGTTTAAAACATGTTGCCAGTACTTGCAGGTTCTGGAAATCATAGATGCATAGATCTGAAAGAGATTTTGAGAAATCATTCATTTTTTCTCTTCCTTATTTCTGCTAGTATAGTTACATGGAAACCATCATGGGAAAAAAGTTTCCTGAAATCTAATCCACAATCCTCCTAATGGAATTTGAATTCATTTCCTGTTGTCCAGAGCATGGTGGGAATGAATTGTTGCCTCTTGGAGGCCTATTACTAAGTTCCCTCAGTCTTCTTCATTCTAAAAAAATTCACTTAATTCAGCCCTTATTCAAGTGCTGTTTCTTAAGCCTATAATAATTTTTCCAGTTTCCCTTTCAGCCATCTCTAAACCTTCTCTAGCTAAATGATAATTCTCTACTAATTCAAAGCAATGTTCTGTTTAAATGTATAGTATTGTTCCTTTATACAGTGGACATCTTAGATTTTTACAAAAAAAAAGTATGTCTCACTTAAAATAAGGACTCTCCTCTAAATTTTTAAATGTAGGATTTGAATTACATTATAAAATTAAAATACATATAATTAAAATCAAGCTCTATATTTCCTGTTTTCAGACTCACCAATTTAAATTTAGTGTCCCATGAATTTGGTAAATCACTAATGCTATCATTCATATACCAAAATCCATCCTGCTGTTGACATATCATTAACTAATAGGTTAAGTATATTTTAATCATATTATTGTAGTGCTAATGGGATCATTGAAATCATCTAGTTTAAACCCCTCATTTTACAGCTGAAGAAGTTGTGGCCTGTGAAGGTTATGTTAGCAAATCTAGTCAAGGTTGAACTAGAATTCAAATCTCCTAGTACTCTGTTTAATATTGTAATGGCATTTCAGAACATTCTTGATGTTTCCCAGATAATGAGATTAACAGTAAAAAGTTTCAAAGTTTGAATTCTAATAACTAGAACATCCTGCCTAGGATGCTTAATGACTAATATGCCACATGTAAGAAAAGTCTCTGCTCTAGATCACATTCCAAACCCAAGGCCATTGGCTGAACTAAATTCAAGAAACTCAGATCATAATCTTAGATATTATGTCAAGGATCCCCATAGCATCTAGTTCCTTACAATATGACAGTAGTCTACAAAGGATAAAAGACTTAATTTCTAATCTTTGATCAATGCAACTCACATACACAGACATAGAACACTGTAGCCCACCTTAGATAACCATATGACCAAATGTTCTTATAGCTTATTTGGGGGAGAAAACCAAAAAAGAAAAAAAAGAAAAAGGAAAAACTCATTCCCAGGAATTGTTTTTTATTTCTTGTTTTCAAATATCCTATACATCTCAGATTTTGGAGAAGGGGGGAAAAACCTTTCTATTGAACTCAACCCTGATAGTCCAGAAAAAAAAAAAGGAAACCAACCATTTTCTGAAATTATTCATTCCATTTCTCAATTCTGAATGTTTTCACTGGCTGTCTGCCATACCTGGAATGCTCTCCCTTCTTACCCGTGCCTCCTAATTTACTTGGCTTCCTTCAAGTTTTTTCAAAATTCCCACCTTCTGCAAGAATCCTTTCCCAGTCTTCCTTAATCTTAGTGCCTTCTCTTTAGGACTATCCCCGATTTATACTCTGTCTGTGTGTGTGTACATACAGAATGAGACAGAGCAAGCTTGCTTGTACATAGCTGTTTGTATGTTGTTTCCCCCATCAGACTGTGAGCTCCTTTGTATCACCAACACTTAATACAGTGCCTGCCACATAGAAGGCACTTATAATACCATTACATATATATATATATATATATATATATATATATATATGCTAGCTGACTGACAGACTAAATAAAGTCATAGATATTTCATTCTGAACTCCTGAATTATATGAATTCTTATTTGAAGGTCTTTATCAGAGCTCTGTAATGGGGAATTCTCACTGATGATAAGGTTGGGGGGTGGGAAAGGATCAAATAGGCATTGTGGGTAGAGAACTGACCTAGAAGCCAGGAGACCTGGGTTCAGGTCCCACCTATGAAACACATTTGTTCTGTGACAAAGAAAAGCTTCTTGCAGATGGTTGAATGACTTGCTGAGGAAGCCTTTCCTTGTCCCTCTCAACTCTAGAGCCTTTCCTCTGTTGATTATTTTCAGTTTATCCTTTATATGGTGTGTTTGTACTGTTGTTGTTGTTCAGTCATTTTAGTCATGTCCAGCTCTCCATGACTCCGTTTTGGGGTTTTCTTGGCAAAGACACTGCAATGATTTGCCATTTCCTTCCTGTGCTTGTCTTAGCTATTTTCATATTGTTTCTGGCAGTAGATTGGGAGCTTCTCAAGGGTGGGGGCTTTTACCCTTCTTAGTATGCCCAGATGTACCTAAAACAGCATAGAGTATTAATATTTTTTCTTTGACACACCCCTCTTTCCAGTTTCCATATTTCTTTTGAAAATACCATCATACTTCCATTGACCTAAGTTCACAGCCTTGAGCCATGTTCAACTCTTTATTCTTCCTCAACTCACCTATCTAATTAGCTACCCAATATTTGTCATTTTACATCCCTAGAATTTTTGTATCAATCACATGTTCTGCACTTTTATCACAACCATCCCAGTTCAGGCTCTCGTCATATCTTATGTGACATGTTCAGACCTGTGCTTTAGGAAGATCATTTTGGCAACTGTAGAGGATGGGCTAACATGGAGAGAGACTGGAGTTAGGGGGACCAATAAGAGGGCTATAGCAATAGTCCAGATGTGAAGTTATAAGGGCCAGCAACAGGGTGTAAAGATTGTTCTCCAGCTTTCTGCTTTCCTTCTAATCTTAGCTGCATTGGTTTTGTTTGTTCAAAAGCTTTGTAATTTAATATAACCCAAACTATTTTATAGTTTGTAATGCTCTCTATCTCTGGTTTGGCTGTGAATTCTTCCCCTCCCCATAGATCTGACAGGTAGACTATTCCTTGCTCTTCTAATTTGTTTTTGGTGTCACCCTTTATGTCTAAATCATGCATCCATTTAGACCTTATCTTGGTATCTGGTGTGAGATGTTGGTCTATACCTAGTTTGTATCCTATTGTCTTCCAGGTTTCCCAGCAGTTTTTGTCAAATAGTGAGTTCTTATCCCAAAAGCTAGGGTCTTTTGCCCCCAGAGATCATGCAGAAAGCTGTTGCTGTTAGCCAAGGCCAGTCAACTGTTGGAAATTGTGTTCCAGGTCATGGTGGCT